CCCTACACCTCAACTTCTGGGGTTGGAGTGGCCGTGGGGTTGTTCACCCCAAAGAAGAGAAGGCTCGGGGGAGACCTTATGGCAGCCTTCCAGTACCTGAAGGGGCTACAGGAAAGCTGGGGAGGGGCTTTTTTGCAAGGGCATGTAGTGAGAAAACCAGAAGACGGTAGATTCAGGTTAGACATAAGGAAGAATTTTTTCACTATGAGGGTGATAAGACACAGGAACAGGGAAGTTTTGGATGCCCCCTCCCTGGAAGTGTTCAAGGCCAGGTAGGATGGGGTTTGCAGCAACCTGCTCCAGTGGGAGGTGTCCCCACCCATGCAGGGGGGTTGGAACTAGATGATCTTTAAGGTTGCTTTGAACCTAAACCATTCTATGATTCTATGAAAAGTTTAAGAATATACTGGTAACAACTTCTTAATTTAACTATGTAACACTCTAGAGATTTAATTTACAACCTCCAAAAGTATAGCTAACATGGCCAGATTTCTTGGATACCCTGGGGAAAAAAATACACACCTTACTGTGTCAAAAGTAAAATCCAAGATGATAAAAACTTTTAAAAAGCAAGAAATAAATCTGACAAAGACCTGTAGAAAGCCTTGGAGTGAATGCTCTTACATTATAAATGTTTCTTAAACCAAAATCAGATGGTCCATTTAATTGCTTGCAGAACATAAATACACTGAATACTTTATCCAAATTTATAAATCAGACACACCTAGCCCAAGGAATCTGATAACTGTATTTCTTCTCAGAAGAAATCACAACTTAGATACCTCTGATCCAGGTATAGACAGCTGGTGTGCTGCTGGCAATGTGTATAGCACAGCAATTTCTGTAATTAACTGACATGGCAATAAACTCTTGTGTAAACTGCCGATTTACCCCAGCCCAACATCAGACACTGATAACAAATTGTTGTCATAGTTGCATTGCGCGTAGGTTCCTAGTGGGGACAACAAAACACTTAACAGGTATAAATTGTGCCATCTCATTGCAGCTTTTTCAAAGAAGATTCTTCCTGAAGTTGCCCCCCTGGCTGAAGTGCTGCTTCAGAGTACAGATGCTGTTTCTTCTGTACAAGCTGGGTGGAACTATGACACCACCTGACAAATCCATGTAGAAAAACAAGCAACTAACACTTTGATTCAATGCTTAGCTGTGCCAGATCTAAAAGTAACAAAATATACTCTCATTGGTGAGCAAACAGTTGTAACTTCTGATATGCCTTATAGTATAAACACAACAGTAGGTGGAAATTAAAACAAGTGGCTTGCGCCCCTAAGTACTAGACAATGGATATAAGACAAAAAAACGTAGCAATACTGCTTAAATACCTAGTGTCTCACCAGCACTTGGAATTGTCTGTAAGACAGTACCAGATCATTTAATGCAGTCTGGTCAATGAAATCACTCTCACAGTCAGCACTTGTCTAGACCAGTTCTGATTTCTCATTACACGTTCCAGGAATTAATGTTTGTGAGATGTCAAGATTGCCATTGATCATTAAAGAGGCTAACACGTAAAACAGACCATATAGCTCAACCTCAGATACATCCTGGCGTCAACAGTCTCTCACATAAATCAACATTCAGTCTTGACTCACTATGGATTTACATACTTTTAAGTAGCAATATGGCCAACAATAAAAATTTGGAAATACAGCTATTTCCCTGGAGGAAGTGTAGGAGAGAGATAACAGTACACCAGAGAGTGAAGGAACAAGTGCACTAGGTAGGTCAGATTATGAACAGAGGTGCCCATACAAATCAGATTAATGTACAGCTTAGGCTACAACCCACACAAAGCATCAATTTCCAGCAAATGTTTCTTATGAAAGAGCAAAAGAACAGCGAGAACAAGAAATTCCTATAGTGTCAAAATCTCACCTAGGAACCAGCCACACTTTCTTTTCTGAGGAATGCCTGTCTTCTACTGCAATGTTTACACCACCCAAACCTCTCAGCACCGGAAACTACTTGCTCAATGCAAGGCAACAGCTCCGAGTCACTGTGCCCGCCCTGTTTATTTCTGCAGACAGAGCTGTCAAATATGTTTTCCTCAGTGTCGTCAGCACAAATAATAACGTGCATACAGGTTAGCTGACAATCTGTATAGTCAGGAAGTAGACGAGTTTAATTACTCATGACAGTACGTTCAACTATCAGAATGGAAGTTTGCTCAACTTAAGATGTAATAGGAAGAACAGAATGAGTAGATGAGGTGTACATTTTAGGACAGCTGCAGATTAAGAAAAAAAAGGGATGCCATGCTTAAAGTTACTGTAACCAGAACATCCTAAAATACTTAAAGATCTGTGATGTAGACCATATCTAAAATGTCCATTCCATGCCCATTCAGCAATTACCACTCAAATATTCCCAACCCATAACCCATAATGAACACATCAAGAAACACACTTGGAGAATGCAAAACAACTGTATGGTCTACTGTTGAGAACATGGAACTGGGGCTTAGAAGACATGCATTCTATTACTGTGTGACTGAATAGCACTGGACAAGTCACTTTGTGGTCTCAAGAGTTTCCATTTGTACAGAATTATCATCTTATCTGTTTTCTTTGTGAAAGATATTTTCAGAAACTTGACAGAATGTATTCAATATGAGTCAAAGAGTATAATCACCTTGTTCCAGCTGCACTTCAGCTGAAAACCTAGTAAGCAACTTCATAAAAAAAGTTTTCACAAAACATCAGTCTATTAATAAAAATCAAAGAATCTCACCAGCAAAAGATTTAAGCTTGCTACATCCTTCCATATTAAATCATTAAGGGACTCTTAAAATATCTCAGGAGTTGCAAATATAGACGGTATGCACCTACACGTTTTATTCACTTTTTGAATAAGGATTCAAAATATTCACATAACACACATTCCTGTTCCACTTTATGGATAATGCACACACCACGGGATGACCTCAGAGTTTTAGGTCTTCTTTTGGTTAGAAGATTGAGGTGCAATGATCAGAAACCATATTGTCA